CCCTGGATCTACACTGTTGAAAAGTTCACCCACCTGTAATTGGCATGTTTCTGTCACATGCTTGATCACTGGGGTTATTTAAAACCAACAAAGGTAAAATTGATTTGTTATTGCTTTACCTAGAATTGTACCTGAGTGATGAAGAATTAAAAAAGCTTCATGATTTTGAAGAACAGTGTGTGGAACAGTACTTACATGAAAAGAAGGAAAGCTTTCACTTCAGTGACAGTGAACAGATCCGTGTTACAAATGAAAGGTAGGGCTTGTCTCGTAATAATACTTCTTTTGACACCTAACAACAGTGGCATTGATGGGAAGGGTCCAAAATTAATAAGATGCCTGTCACGCCATCACAATGAAAATCCTGCCCCTTTTGTGCATGTATGCAATGTCATATGTAAAAGAGCCAGGTCATGTATGCAAACTTCTCAATTCTTGCAGTTTTGAACTGCCCCTTATAACTTTGGCAACAAAAGCATGTTGAACTTCAGAACTGGTCCTAGACATTTAAATGTTAATTAAATATTTCATTATTGTATTATGCAATATAGTGGAAAAACAAAATAATAATAGATTCTAAAAATAATAATAATAAATTCTAAAAAAACATGAATAAATTCCTTAAGCTATACCATCCTGTTAAATTCTTTAGGCATTCTTCAGTTTCATACAGAAAGCAAAAATTTATTCAACTAAATGTTGGGTTATGCTTAATTATATTGAACAAAAACTATTCTATTACTCAAATGATCACATAGACCAAATTTTGGGTGCTGAAATTGTTTTAGCAGACTCCAAACAATTTAAATGTGTCTCAGATATTCACATTTATGACAAACTATTCTATGAATCATAAACACCTTGCAGTAATCAAGAGTTATAGGGTAGAAAATGCAAGTGGTGAAACAATTTGACTTCATATCTAATGATTCTAATTTACCAGTTGGAAAATACAGTAAATACATTCCTTTAGTGTAGTGAACCATGCATAGGAATATAATTTTTGGATGTTCTTCCCCTAGAGTTGAAGAAATGTTTTCACAGCTGAAGGAAATTCACGACAAAGTAATTTATATCAAAGATTCTTTGCTTGCCTTGGACAGTCAACTGGGACACTTACAGGACCTCTCAGTTTTAACGGTTGATACTCTCAAAGTCATTTCAGCTGTGGACACTTTGCAAGAAGGCGAAGTCTTTCTCTCTGAACAGAAACATCAGACCTGTAGGAAGCTTCCGCATAGTTGGAGCAACACTCTATGCTCAAAGGCTTTGAGTTGTATGGAAAGTGAGAGTATCAAGTGCAATTACTATAGCATGCCACCTTCTCTTCAGAGGAACCTAGCGAGAAGCCATTGTTCATTAGGGGGCAGCCATCCCATTTTGGATGCCCTAAACTATGGTGAAATCCAATTAACCAAGAAAGATCCAGAACAGGAAATTGAAAATGGCCTTCTGACATCGGAGTTATCTTCAGGGAATAAATCAGGCTCTCAGTACGGAAGGTTTCTTCTTGTGCCTCCGGATCAGAAAGGAGCTTCTGAAGATGCTGGTTTAAGTTTGGCCTTTTCGACTATGCTGAATGAGCTTAAGGACTTAAACGCTAAAGATGACACGAAGCAGAGTGACGCTGTCTCTCAATGCCATGTATGCAGTGCCAATGATGTGGCAAAAACAATGCCGGTTATCAGCCAAGTGCAGGAGCTGAACATTTCCTTGGCTAAGGAAGAAAATGAAACTGCTGCTGAACACCATTTGTCCATCCATGCAGTTAATAGCATCAGTGAGACCTCTCAATCTTCTCCTTATCGCTGTGAGGGACCAGGGAAAGGTTATGTAAATTGGGGCTTCCTGGAAGACAACGAGAAGAGAGATGGTGGCAGTTGGTCAAGACAGCAAGCAGGTCAACAATCGCTCTGTGACAAAGAAGATGGCCATTGCAGTCCTTCGCATGTGCAGATCAAGGAATCCAAATCTTTCTCTTACAGTTCGGACGTATCAGAGTACAGTAGTGATAGCTCGCAGTCCCGCCTGACTTTCCAGCGTAGCATGTCTGTCTGGATCAATCCTCTCAAGAGGAATTGGCCTTTCTACAAAGGGAGCAGCTTTTGTGCCCATGGGGCTGAGAAAACGGCAAAAACCAGCAAAATAAAAGGCAATAATCACCCAAATTTGAGTTTTCTCCTCTTCTTATGCTTTCATCTTTAAAGAGAGAACTCTATTGAGGGGTCTCCAACCTTGGCAACTTTAAGCCTGGTGGACTTCAACTCCCAGAATTCCCAGTTAGCTGGGAGTTGAAGTCCACCAGCCTTGAATTGCATTTACAGATAATCCTTGTCTTACAACCATTCGTTTAGCAACCTTAAAGTTACAATGGCACTGGAAAAAAAAGAGAGACTTACAACCAATCATCATCCTCCAGCATCTCCAACAGTCACATGATCAAAATTTGGTCACTTGGCAAG